CTATCTATCTATCTATCTATCTATCTATCTATCTATCTATCTATCTATCTATCTATCTATCTATCTATCTATCTATCTATCTATCTATCTAGTTTTGTGATCGTGTGTATTGGAATGAGACTATCAGCGCCTACAGTGATCACATCAAAATCTGAGATTTATGACTTCATTGTGCGCAAACGCGCAACAAGCACCTTTACACTTGCTCACAGTTTGTTGTTTCATTTAGGATAAATTGTACTGCTATCAGCTGCCATCAAATCAGCGGAGATACCACACAGCTCGCTGTCACTTCTTTTGATCTTCTGTCCGTTTCTACTGGTTAGAATATTGGTGAATAATGGATAAATGATGGTACCAACAAACTCTGGCGGAATATGTGTCACTGTGTATGTAGTTTAAGTGGTTTCGTGGATTACACATAAAGTAGGATTAATTGAAGAGTAAACTGTTGTTTTCCTTAAAGCGTCCACTTGCTATTAAGTTCTGTTCCAAATCATGTCCAGCAGCAGGTTTCCTTGGGGAAAGAATAAAATCCTAACAGAGAGCACTGATTTGAAAACCTTGGTCATAACATAAAGATAATGATTATCAGACCATTTGCTGTCATAAACTCACCAAAGCTCATAATGTTATTGTGGGAAATATTTACATAAATCTTTAGATTATGTTCACAGACAGCAATGTTCATTTTTTTTGTCCTGTGATTTTGTCCCCCACTGTTGTTCAATTTTGATTTTTGTTAAATAATTTACTTTCTTAAAACTGAAAAAATATTATCATTCCTGAAGACCTAGCATAGTTCTCAAATCTCTGATACGTAGAGGAGCATTAAGGTGAAAGTAGCCACTTGACGCGGGCCTCAGTTCCACTAAATGCACGAAACCTTGCATTTGAAACCAGAAGAGCTGAATAAAAAATAAAAAGCTGCGGTTTCTTTAAGACATCCGAGCAAAACAACTGTCCTACCGTGGAGGAGGGAGGGAAGAAGAGAGGGAGGGAAGGAGGGTTGGCTGGAGGACCGAATGGCAGCTTTTACGCAGAGGGTAGTCTCACCTGCTGAAACGCACTTCACCATTCAGCACTACAGAGCACTCTTCCGCGCTCCCCTCCAATTAATAAACACGCCTGCGAGGTCAGCGCTTCGTTTCGCTTCTTCGGGGTTGTTTTGTTTTGTCTTCAGCTCCATTTTGATGCGACGAGCTTGGTTATCCTATCGTGACCCCAGCGTATGGATCGTCTTTGCCCGAGTAGGCGAACAAAGCGCATCAAGTCTCTCCAGAGAGGTGCCTCCCCCCCAAAATCTCGGATTTTTCTCAGTAAGTAGGCTACTCGGGATAGCCATTTGGCATTTATCGACTGTTTTTCTTGTTGTAAAGCTGCCTTGTATCTAATTCAGTTGGAAAGAACTCGCTATTAAAGATGGATACGGTATTTCTTAGTCCGACGGATAGGCATTTAATTTAGGGAACACCCGATCCCACTGTTGGACAAAAAATAATGGGAAGATTTTGGATAGCGCTGGACACCTTATTGGTTTCCTGGGAGTAGAACAGGCCCGTGTCGATGCTCGAAAGCAAAAAAAAAAAAAAAAAAAAAAAAGCTCACCACGGCAGACTACATCCAAATACTTCATTTCCAAAGGCGTGAATTGCTATATGTGAAAAACACATCCGTGCGCTGATACAATATACTGACAAGCACATTACGAACAAAAACTATGGAGCACACTGGGATCGAGGAGGTGAACCAGACTCACCAGCAGCAGCATGAACCCATCAGCTTCGGCATCGACCAGATCCTCAACAGCTCGGACCAGTCCAGCGGCTGCATGCTCCCTAACCGGACCGGTGACCCGGATTACGCGCTGGCCTCTAATGTCTACAGCAACGGGTACAACAGCGTCTACAACCCGGCCTGCTCCATGGCAGCAGCAGCGGGTTTAGCCGGCTCCTATAATGTCAACATGAACATGAACGTCAGTATGAACATGAACATGAACGTTAACGTGAACTCTGGAGGTGCAGGTGGGGTAATTCGGGTGCCGGCGCACAGGCCCATGCCGCCTCCGCCACCGCCACCCGCCGCTGCTGCTCCTCATCCACCCCCATCGACGCATCCACCGGGCATCGGACCCGGCATCCCCTCGATGCCGGGGATGGGAATGGGGAATGCAGCAAACTTCACATTTCCGTGGATGGAAAGCAGCAGAAGATTCGCCAAGGACAGATTAACAGGTAAAGAATAAATCTTATCCTGGTCCCACAACACTTGTAGTTTAATGTTTTTCATGAACACAGACATAGTAGGTCAGAAAGCAAGACCTCGTTATTTACCACCAAAAAAGTGAATATTTTCCTCACAGCCACTAAAGAGGAAATTATGAATTCACTAACACTTGTGTTGAAAACAACCTCCGACCGACGAAGCGTGAAGTGGGCCTATAATGGCTCAACAAAGTGGCGCTGATGATTTCATCTTTAGGTTGTAATCTATAACGAATCATATATGCGCACACAGTCAGTTTTATTATGCTGGAAGGGCAGTCTGATAAACGAGTGGAGAAATTGACTCGGACATGCTGATGAATCAGTATTGGACCATCACTCTCCATTTACAGCGGATGACGGATAACGACGTCCCCCGTTTTTTCATGAGGATGAATGATTTTTTCCCCCTCTCCCGGAGAGCCAATTGAGAAAGCAAGAAGATGAGTCACCGTAGTAACAATATATGACATGTTAAATTCTAAACAAGAATGTATTATTATTATTATTATTATTATTATTATTATTATTATTATTATTATTATTATTATTATTATTATTATTATTATTTGAGCTGAGTAAATTAGGCTATAATTGGACAACAGCTACAATATTGCTTGCAGACTTACTCTAGCAGACTATATGTAGACTTCAGTGGGGTTTTTTTTTAAATTTGTAGTTTTTATTTCCAATTTTACTTCTTTCAGAACCAGCTGCTTTTATTTTTTTCCTTAAAAATGAAATTCACCGAAGTCGATTTTTGTGCCATTTGGGCTTTTAATACCCACGATGAGTTACATAATTCCTGCCTATTTTTTTTATTCAGGTGTCTGCAAACACATGCAGCCATTTTTGTTCCCAAAATCCCACACGCCCTTCAACACTATCAGAATCAGATGCTACTTAAAGGCTGACATCGTTTTTTTTATTTGTTTCCTTCTCAATCCAAAATGAGATATTTGCTTTACTTATTTAAATATTATATGTATGCTTATTTAAATAATGAAATGTAATGCAATTGAAGATAAGTTCTTTTCTAGTATAACGACTATATATTGTTTATAATAAATTATATGAAAAACATACGAAAGATAATTCTCAGTGAGAAAATGGTAAAAAAAAAAAAAAAACGATTGCCAATAAAATTTTAATGGAATATGCTGAGATAGGTAAACGTATTTCATAAAAACGATTTTTGCGTTCTCTGTTTTCTTTTTTTGGGTGGGGGAGGGGTGGTTCAGCTTATATTTTTCTCATGACCTCATTGCTATAAAGGAAGAACATCATGGATTTGCGCGCGCACGCCCCCTCCTCTCCATGCATTAAATATTCACTCTTCAGTTCTTTCTACCTGATTAATTATTAAATACCGGGGGACGATATGTCATCTGCAAAAAGATACAGTGTAAATAGGCTTATCAATTTTACTCATAGTCACCGAGGGCCCCTCGTTTAATTTCTCTCAGCTTTGTGTCGCTGTAATTATTTCGCAGCTTATATCTTTCCTCTGTATTGATCAGCCAAAGATCACCAGCAGCAGGAACAGCTACAGCAGTAGCTACAGTAGCACTATCCACACATACACACACACACACACGCGCGCGCAGACACACACACACATTCAGATATACACACACAAACACTCCAGATTTAGCCTGCTCTGTTTCCTATAAAAGGCCGTAAATCAAATGGACTATCATCTATCCTGATGGGTAGAGCACCGTTTTAAATGTTTCTCCTTGTTTCTTGTTTTTCCTTTTCGCCTTCCAAGTTGAAACCGGAGGAGAAAAACGGTCCCGTGCAGCTTTAAACAGCTAAACATGTTGCCAAATGCTTCCAGCTCTGGCATTCATGGCAGGATTTCTTTCTTTTTTTTCTTGCAGAGATGTAAACGAAACCTGTTAACTTCGACAATAGATTCTCATTTTTCACGCCGGGATGCCTCCCACATGGCACAAACTCGTGTTATTAATCACAGTAAGCTGGATTGGACTGTCGCAAAAGATTTACGGGTTATAGGGGCATCATTTATCCATCTGTAAAGATACACTTCATGTAGCCTACTGATGAATCCTTGGTGGTCACCCACTCCTCTGTGTATTCACTCAGCGCTTACAGGCCTAAAATGTTGTGCGTCAGGCTATTTTATTGCAACTAATTTATGTGTTATTTTATTTTTATTTATTTCTGAAGGACGAGTGAAGAATTAAAATAAGTTCACCAGGGTTAGCTAGCTGCTATTTTCCATCTGCTGTTCCTGAACATGTAGGCAAAAATCAACCAGAGAAGAATAAAATCATACATAAAGCCGCACCGTGCGTAAAAGTACACACGCACAACTATAGCAGCAACAGCAGCAGTAGTAGTCGGAGGCTAACAGTAGCCACCTTTATTTTTCAATGTACTCTGCTCAAAAAAATAAACAAACCCGTCTATATAGATTTATTTGTAATGTTATTTTTTTCACATTATTATTTTTTTACGTCAGAAACGAATTAAAAAATAATACATTAATAACATAAAACACAGCACAATAATATGTAATGAAAATTAAGACTAGTTAGTAACTGAAGAAAAATATAATGGATAGTGAAATGAAAAGTGGGCTTTACAGCACAAAATGTCAAGTAAAATATGTACTAATTTTAAGAAACCAAGCCTTTTACCACTAGTGATTACTACTACTACTACTACTACTACTAATAATAATAATAATCTAATAGAAATTTGTAATCTTTGTTGAAGGATCAAAGTACATAATAATATGTTCTTTGAATTGTTTAGACATTTTGACAATAAACAGAGCAATAATACAGCGTCTTTCACTGTAGACCACCTAACAGAAATAAAAGAAATATAATTAAAGCGCCTTTTCTCTTCTGTATATCTGTGTCTGGGTGTAAATGGCAGCAGTGCCAAAAAAATATGATTTTATTTCAGAGCTGAACCCGCTCCTGCCCTTTTGCTTCCACGCTGGCCTGATTTTCCGTGTGACAAAAGACAGTATCCCTGCTTTTTGTTGCGTATAGTGTAATAAATAGCAATATATGTTCATGTTATATTTCAATATCCCCTTTAGAATCCTTCACGGATATATTTATTAGATTGCTACAAAGGTAATATCCGCCGTGGGGACGGGAGGCGCTGTCACCGGGAAGTGTTATTAAGTATAAGTGGTTTTATTATGGCAAACATATTCTCCACGGTAGCATTTTATTTTTTGATATGCTTATGCTAAATTGTGTTATCCAGGCAACAGATTTAGCATTCGCACCCATTTTCTTTTCCATTTGATGAAGAGGGGGAACAAAATGTGCAATGTGTTTTGCAGCATTTATTTTTGGTTGCTGGTGATTCTTTTCATTTTCTTTGTTTCATGGGAACACTTACATGATCGCTTTTTTGTTGGGGATAATGGCCACATACAGACTGCTTAACTGTTTTCCGAGCTATAGGAAAACAATTAATTATTAGAAAAATAATTATGTTTTACAGCTTTATTTAATAACTCATTTCCTAATTGTGGAAGCTCTAAGCTCGTGGGACTTATTATACCCTTACATTTGGAATCTGTATAGGAGTGGTATTCTTCTCCAGATACAAATTACTGCCATCAGTATTTCTGATATATTTCAGATTTATAAAATTTTGACTAATATATTTGTTATTCCATATGGCTTTAATTTTTGGTACTATTATTTGTAACATATTACTTATAATCCAGTTATATCCAGCTAGTTTACACTGACTGTCACTAAACTAACCGACTCACTGATGCAATTGAGCAAGGGCATTCTTAATTGGTTTGGCTTAAAATCCAGCACATTGCATGATTCATTTTGATTCTATACTGCAGTTCACAGTCTCGATAATTATAGTAATGGATAAACCTGAAGGCATATGGAGTAAAACCAAAGAAAAAAAAAAGCATTAAACATGTCTGGTGGGGTATCACACCACTGGATCATATATTTATCAGGATTTTGCACACTGTAAAGCAAAGCCTTGCTGTACTTGTCAGGTCTAAAGGGTGCTGCTGCATGTTAGGTTGCCTCTGAACGTGCTTGTATGTGCCTGGCCCATTACTTAGCCCACAGATGGCCTGAAATAGCCATCTAATACTGTATTAGTTAGCCAGACCTGCCGCTGGGAGCAACAACAGGCACGCTTGCTTTCTCTGTGGGACCCATAAAGCTCCAAATAGATTTGGGCAATGACACAAAAAGCAAAAATGATATGTTGCTTAACATATGTGCTGTACATTTAAGACTCCACTTTAAAGTTAATGCAAGAATGTGGCTTTACAGGAGATTTAGAAACACACTATGAAGTCCAATAAGGGCCGTATAATTCAGTATTAAGGACTGTGGAGGTGCTCCAGTCCATTGTGAGCACCTATAGTAGTGTTATAGAAATATCTTGGGGATTTTGTCATTAGAAACTCGTGATTAAATACTACAGATGCCGGTCTAAGTCCCAAAAGGAATATTGGAGGGGTACAATTACCATTTTTTATTATTATTGAGCATCAGAGCAGCACATAACGTGAAATTGTTATAAGAATATTAACATAGAAGATTAAAAATAATAATGAGAGAGAACGAAGAGGTCATGGTCACTATAAATCCATGCAAAAGCCAATAACTGTAGCACATTTTCACTTCAGACACTAAATCTGTGCTACTAATTTGCACTTACGTGATGTTAACTTTATGTGACCTACCGTAACAGTGCATAGTTGCTATTCATCTTTACTTTACAAATCATTTGTTTGTGTACGCTTCAATTTGCCACTCATGTTCAGCACCATCAGGGGACGTTGGCGGCTCCCTTGAAATGACTGCCAAGTGCGTAATAACTTCATGTTCTATTTTACATCCAAATTGTCATCGTCTGTATAGCAAATGAATTTTCAAGTCGCTGAAAACTCTGAGAACAGCAGCAGCAGGAGGAGCAGCAGCAGGAGCAGCACGTAACCCTGAGGGGACACCTATGCAGATGTTTTCATATTCATTTTGGCTCCTGGTGAGCTTTTCTGACAAAACAAAAACAAATAAACACCCTGTTAGACAGCAGGCAAAACAGCTTGCTGGGGACGGATGACATAGAGATAGAGAGAGAAGGAGAGAAGACAGAAAGTATTTTTTTTTCTCTTTTCTTCTGCTGATTTCCATTCAGAATGAGAAGGTGGCCTGGGAGTGGATCTATGGCCAACGATCTCATTACATTTATCGATCTTCTGTTTACCCATGGCTGACAAAATAGACAGGATTCATAGATATTTTATGATGCAAGAAGATAAGTTGTTATTAATACCCGGCAGTTGAAAAAGAACCACGAGGCACTGAGGCAGAGAGTGAAGAAAAACACAATGTACACCCTTACAGTGCAAAACTGCAGTTTATATTTTTGAGAAGGAACAGTGACTAAGCGACAAGAGACAAAGTAAGACAATACAACAATACTTTGAAATAGCATTTATTATAAAGTGTCTATATTCTAAATAGTAATGCGTGTAAAGTTTATGACAGCCTATTCTGCAAAAAATGATGTCACTGTGCAAGAAGTTACACAATTGCAAATTGAGGTTATTGCTTGAGTTGTAATGACACACGCTTCATGTTTGTGCTCCAAGACATTTTGCAAATATCAAATATTTTTTAAATGTAATTATTGTGATGAAAAAAGACCCACCAAAATCTACTTTCCTTCAGAAATTGTGTTTTGTTAGGCTTACAATTATATTATGTAGGTCTGTGAATAGTACTTATGGAGCTTCATCACATTGTCAGAGGATGACCTTGGCTGTAGGTTTTTGATTGGTCAGCCAGGGCTTGATTTATCTGTGTAATCCTGCTAGATGTCACTTATTTTTTTTCTGAATGGCATATATCTCATTTCTTAGCTAAAGATCTCCAAATGCTAACTTAAGAGACTAGAAGCAAATGGCATTAAAGTAGACTCTGTTCATCATTTAGGCCCCTTCATGTGATTAGCTGCTATGCGTCGGTGCCCGCCCGGCGGCAGCTGCTGCTGTGCTCCAGATGCGGGACCTCACTGTGTCTCCCTTTCCTTTAGGGGAGCAGGCAGAGGAGAGCCGAGCTGGAGAGGCCACAGGGGGGCCGGGGGCCACCGGATCCCTCTGTCCTCTCCCCAAGGGAGACATCGGCAGGGTCCCTGTCTGGAGCACGGTGGAGACATTAGCCAAATGTTATTACCCCGAGCTTGCCCACCTGCGAGACGGCAATGGCCTTCTAGCAGACTATCCTTTTCCAAAGGGTGCTTGCCCAGGTGAGTCACCCCCTCTCCCCCACCAAAAAACCTCACCTGTATCTAATTGTTAAGAGCCACCATCGTGTGCCACCAGAAAGTATAAACTGGATTTAAAACAGCATTTGAAATCTTAATATGCGTCAGTATTTTTCACGTCTTTATCCTCTAGCACTTTAAATTTTGAAGTGATAATTCACATACTATTTTTCTACTTCTGCCTCAATTACTTTTTCCTTGGATTTTCTGTTTGCACATCTCAGCGTGCTCTTCAGAAATGGAAAATGTGGCAGTGACGTTATCTTCTTCAGTTGGCAGCTTCTAGGCCATCTCTTAAGACTCCCCAAACATCATAGCTTTTTTTTTCAGTTAGCAGCAAATGAACAATAATTTTTATCTTACCAAGGAATGGACAGCTAGCTAGGTTTATGAGTCTATAGAAATAAATCCTCAGGGGAAATGCATTTATAATTCAGAAGAACAGGTCACTCCAGCTTAGAAATGGAAATAAGTAACCAATCAAGCATTCATGGTAAACCTCTAGAATTTTACAAATTTAAAACACTCATCAGACAAATTAATCCTCTTTTTCCTCCCTCTTTCAGCTGCCCTCTCGCCCTTTTCTGTGACCCGTCGAATCGGCCACCCGTACCAGAACCGGACGCCACCTAAGAGGAAAAAGCCTCGCACCTCCTTCAGCCGGGTGCAGATCTGTGAGCTTGAGAAACGTTTTCACCGACAGAAGTACCTGGCATCGGCCGAGCGTGCCACCCTGGCCAAGGCACTGAAGATGACGGATGCACAAGTTAAGACCTGGTTTCAAAACAGGCGGACAAAATGGCGGTAAGATTACAGCAGGGTGTTATTGGATGCTAAAGTAACATAGTTCTCCGTTCTACGTGTCACGTCTTGCTTTTTTTTTGCATCCCACTATATACTTAAGCAAAACAAACAGGCCTTGATGGTTTTTGACTTCATTAGGACAGGATGTTTGCGCAGAATTACAAATCTTCTTGTCCCACAAACTGACATTACAGAATGTGTCTCTGTTTTACACTTGCGTCCAAAAATGCTTACTGGTGTCTTACTTTGAAGACAAGTAAAATGGCCCACATTGCATTGAAGGAGTTGTACAACACAACACCTATTTTGCTTAGCTTAGCTGCCAGTTGAGGCCAGTTCACTTGACCAAGCACAATTACTCCTGAGCCTCCTGAAAGGCCTTTTAGAAACCTGCTGTCCAAAGCAATACTGAAACACTCACAGGAGAAATTGACTGCCGAGTCCATGAAAAAAACACACACTCATTCACTTCATTCTAACTGTTGTTTATAGCCATTTGAAAGTAAATGAGTAGGAAATCAAATTATGATGCCCTGCCCCTTGTTAAAGGAGCAGGATACATATTTCAAACGCATATTACACACAGCTAAATTACCTTAAGTCATTACCCTAAGGGTTTTTATGTGTAAATGGCTTTAAAGCTTTTTCGAATGATTTTCTATTTAAAAGTTAAAGAAAACAGTTAAAAATCACTGCCTTCTTTGTTGTAAATTAAAGTATAATATAGAATTTTGGTTTAAGGATGTTCATTTACATTTTCTTTAAAAAAATGCATTTATAGAAGAAAAAAAAACCCTGCAGCAATCATGTCCTTAAGCCATAAAATGCTAATGCACAGTTTCCACTACAAAGTGCAGTAAAAATGAATTTGCTTAAAATAAACAGCAGACTGAACAGCATGTCACGAGTAACAAGGGAATTGGCTTAACTCGCTTTTCTGATTTCCTACTTTTGCTGAGATTTATGCCATTTCCCTGTAGTGTGCACCTGATAGGATGAGCATGAGGGATGTCTTTGTGTGACGACTACGCGAGTAACAAGAGGATGATCAAATCAACAGCCAGGGAATCAGATTATGATAATGCTGTTAACAATAATGTGTGGCTAATGGATGGAGGTTGGCGTGCTTGAAAGAGTGTTTTTAGAGGTGTGCTTATGCTGGTGATTTCTAGCTGCCATTTGTATTTTGCTTTATATTTTTAAGAGAATTGAACATTTATTACATGTCGTTTAACATATCATTTCCAAATGTCCGTAAATAAATCACCATGAATTATTCTGTTATGGTAATAAGAAATTTTCAAGACTGATAGAGTAAAATGTTCCACTGTTTATAGATATGCTTGCCTTTGTAAAGTAATTCAAGTAAATTGCCAAAAGTATTTACATTCACTATTTAAATTGAAATAGAAGTGTACTTTTTGTTGAGTACTAAAACACCAGTTCACTCTGGAGGTTTTCCAACATAAACGCTACAAAACAGGCTGTTTTTTTTAGGAAGACGCACGACTTTTCAACGCAGCAAATGTTGATATCAGCACAGCGCATATACAGGATGTGCGGAGTCGTTTCTTTGAAAAGAAAAGAAACAGATGCAACTTTTCACCTTGAGGCAGGAAGTGCTTTGTATGTCTTCCCCCTCTATTAGTCACGTTCCTTCAGCAACACCTGTCACTCATCTTGATCAGCTGTCGTGTAGCCAAAAGCAGAAGGAGTATCTGGCACAGGTGTAGTACAAAGACAGAAGAAAAAACAGGCAATTTGCAAATCCACATGATTTATTATGAAATTTGCAATCTCATCTGATCGCTAAAAGCTTTTTTTTTTCCTTGATTCCTTTGACTTCTTTGATCAGTGGCTTTTTACTATATATATATATCTATCTATCTATATATTTTTTTCTTGTTATTTTCAGGCATTGCAGCATATGATTGAAATTCTTCACCACCAGTACCAAAGACTGCCAGCTTTTTCTTGGTTTTGTCAATTAGAAATGACAATAAATGAGCCCTGGATATGCTAACTTATCCAGGAAAATTTTAACAGAAGCACCTAATACAGAATTGCAGATCTATTCTACATATGGTGTCTGTTTAAAAAGTAAAGAAAGAAGGAGGGAGAGAATCCCACTGTTTCTTTATTAAAGCATAGCACACTGCTAAAACGCTCTGGCACGTGGTACAAGTCGATACTGTGTACAATCGCCATAAAAAGAAACATTATATTGGTCTTAAATCCTCCTTTGCTCTCCTTTGTCTCCTCCTTTCACCCAGGAGACAGACTGCAGAGGAGAGGGAGGCTGAGAGGCAGCAGGCCAACCGGCTGATGCTGCAACTTCAGCAGGAAGCTTTCCAGAAGACGTTGAGCCAGCCACTGCAGCCGGACCCACTCTGCCTGCACAACTCCTCCCTCTACGCCCTGCAGAACCTGCAGCCCTGGGCAGAAGACAATAAGGTGACCTCCGTCACCTCTGTAGCATCTGTAGTGTGAGCGTGTGTGAGTGTGCGTGTGTGTGTTTAGAAGAGAAAGGGAGGGAAGGGCAGAAAACAGAATGTCTTGATCAAAGTGTCGTGAGTGTGAATGGACACAAGAGAGGAATTTCTTCCAAGACTGACATTCAAAAACTCAGAACCATTTTGGGATATCATAGATGCAGGATGCTTACTTTGGAAAAAAAAATCAAATCAAATAATGGACAATGTGCTTATTCACTCATTGATCGTTACCAGCAACATGGTGGGGAAGAGTGTGTAGAGAGAAAGACACAGCTATCGGTTACTGACCAGACCTGCAAAACACTGTTTGCGGACTTCACAGCACAGGAGCCGCACTTACATTGATGTTTGTCAAAACTAAGCAAGTCTAAAACTGTTATCTTAAATATCTAAAGCATGTTGAGTAATTTCCTGCCTTACACCAAGTTTCCGCTCTCCCTTCAGCTGTCGGTCTAAAAGAGAAGAGGGCACTTTATCCCTAAGTGCCAGGAAACAAATGGACACCTCTGTACATGCCCAACTGTCAAGACTGTACCCTCTTTTGCCTCTGGATCCCTCACAAGGTGGCAGAGAGACTCTTTGCCAATAATGGCAAAAAGAGACCTCGTGTTTTCGCTTTTGACTTTGTAACAATGTAGTAAATGCATGTTTCAACCCTTTTCTGTGTGCACTCGGATGTACCATTGAAGTCAGCGGCTGCTAAGGTGGATCTCCTCCCCAACTGCAGTGTTCAAATGGTAGTGGATTGGTGAAAGCCCTGATCACGGATTCCTCATTATGTCGAATTTAAAGGTGTTTTATATTAAATAATATTGTGACTTTTTGAAAAGATGACAAACCTCTCCGTTTTTCTTGCCTCTTATTGTCTTGTTGGGTTCCCTCACTCACTTCCTGTTGTTGTTTGTCACCATTATGAAAACTGTGCAATAATACTTTATGATTTTAGGGATGTAGTTAGCCTCATGGGAATTGGCTATGATTACACATTAAAGTTTCAAACCACCCAAAGGTAAGATACCATCAAACTGTATGAGTAGGACAGAGCAATACCTTTTTTTATCCATAAAAACTGATGACTACAGCTCCCATGTGTGAACGTGAAGCAGGGCGTTGCCGAAAAAACAGCAAGCGTGCTCGGCAAAAGCCTCCCTGGATAAATAAAAGGTTTGAAAACCGATGCCAGCTCAAATTAGAGTGAGAGTACATGAGAAAGTACGAGCTGTGCCTGTGCCAAATGAACATCTGAAATGCGGCAGCCTGATTTTGTTTGTATTTTTGTTTTACTCCACTGAACTGCGAGGACTTAACGAAGCAGTTGGCCAGTGATTGGTGCAGGAAACCAAGCAACAAATGAAAGGCTAACAAGTTTAGCCTTTTTCTGTGGGTCACTGATTGAGATAGCGTCTGAACAGCAGGGATAGCAGGGAACAGCTGAAACTATCGGGGGCCAGATATCTTGTTTAATAATGTCATTCCTTCCTTCATTCCAGCACAAAAAAAACATATTTCATAACCGAGTGAGATCAACAGTTACCTTAAACAAGAATTTTGATGTTTGAGTTCATTTGCCTTTTACTGTAATCCAGCAGGAATGCAAATCTCAACCCTAAATAATCTCCCAAATACCTGTTGCCTTTTTTATGGTTAATGTATCTTTATGTTTCGAAAGAGTTTCTTCTTTTGGCCAAAAAGAATGCGATTAAACTTAAACTTACGGTAAATGTACAAGCGGAATGCCAAAAGACAGCACTATTATTTAGAAAACGAAAAACAAAACATCCTCTATTGGAGAGTAGCCATTTTTGGTGTTTGCCTCCATTGTTGTCTGGGCGAATCGTGGCCACCTGCGCACCAGACAGTCGTAAACATTTGTTATCAACACATCCAGCCTATCGTGCTTATCGCCCAAGTCAAAACAAAAACGACCTAGGCACAGTAAACACATCATTCAGGTTCCCTGCTTGTAAATGAGCCTTCAACACAAAGAACGTCACAGGAAATGGGCCTTGTTGTGCTCTATCTTCTTTCCTTAACAGTGAGCTACTCAGTTCCTTTGGACTGTAAAGCATAACATCAACCTCCTGTTAATCTTGGCTGTACCTGCCACTGAAAAATACCTATCAGAAGGCCTGTCCCTTTCCTGCTTTTTTGAGATCTGCCTGTTTGAGCCTTGCCTTTCTCTTAGAGCAGCTTGATGATGTGGTTCAAAACAGCTGTCTGCAGCTGCAGCCACCCTCAACAACCCTCTGTTTTCTCAGAGGCATAGTGCCAATGTTTAGTCAGTTTCCAGAGCGTCTTGCCTGGTTGAGATCGTGTCAATAACAGCCAGCTCTCCAGGTGAATCCTCCTCAACCCCCACTTCCTCCGCTCCCTGCTGCTTTCATCTCTCTATCTCGAATGCCTTGAAGACGTGACTTGGCCCATTTTAGAAAAATTCCTTCCTTTTACCGTTTTCAAAACTGCTCATTGTGTTTTGCTACAGGTGCTTAAAGATTTTTTCCTCCTCTCCTATCGTGGCACTGGATTTTTTTTCTCCCACCCCCCTCTCTGTTGCCACTGAGGAGCCCTGTCCTTATCCAATAAAATGTCACCACACAAGATGAACAAGAACAAAGAGGCTCAAGGTATATCAGACTTCCTATCAAGCATTTTGTTTTGAACAGGAGAACCATAAACGCAAAAAGTACTCACCACGTTGTGCTGTCTCCTCCAATCAGCTGTTTCCATTCTTGAGAAATGCAGTAAACATTTAAGCCGTTATCAGGCAGTTGTTGACGCTTCAGTGGGTTTAGCTTTTCGAGCATTGAAAGTTTGACTTCTATAGTATGATTATCAAGTCAGATCTGCTCTTGTGCAATAAATATTTCCTACTTGTTATCACCCTACATATTTTAGTGTCGATATATACATCTATCTATCCATCTATCAACACACACACACATATATATATATATATATATATATATATATATATGTAAAATGCCTGTGACCTGCACATTTGGTACAAAAAGCATAATTTTACAGCCTCATCTGGACAATAAATATACTAAATTCCATTGAATCCAGTGACATATTTGTCATTTTTTACAAAACCAGGCATTTGATAAGTTTTATTTCCAGACTGGCTTGATGCCATGACACCAATGTTCCGATGCCCAAACATCCCATGGCATATCTATGGCATAAATAAACAGGATATAAAATCTTTGAGATTCTTTTTTTCTAGATGTAATGTCATCACTCAGCAGTTATAACAACTTTTCCGTCTGTGGCAGCTGCAACATTTCAGAGGAAGGCAAACACAGTCTGACACTGCCAAACTGCTAATGTGTTGACACGCGAGGCTTTGTTGACAAAAGGTCGTCTATGGTTCTTGGCTCTAAAGTAGCACTGTGATCCTTTTGTGTAGCAGAAAATGCTCAATGAAGAAGAACTCTACTGAAGATTAACAATATACTTGGTAGCCGTTTGCACTAAATCCGCAAAACACTCCAAAGGTGATCTGTGCAGTTTACCTCTAATGCTTTGTCAAGTGTGACAGATTCTTGAAAAAGGTGCATATAAGCAGGTTATTACATGTGGGCAAGTTAGGCTTGTCAGCAAGTTTAGCTCTGTTTGATAAAACACCCAAATAAGGTTAAACAAATTTCTTTTTTACATTTGATGAAACGTTTGAACCACAAACAATAGATTTTCTTAGAGAAATGTTATTTTGAACACCGGTATCAGTTCAGACTCAGAACCATAATCCTCTGCTGATGAATGTAATGGTAATACTACTTAGATTTTGTAGTTTGTATTCAGAAATGCCATTCTTTATTATTCCATTCATCTTCTTTTATTTTGAATAGGGTAGATATATACGTGTTCAAATGATGCTAACTGGTTTAAATGGACATATTAATGTTTTCCAGTACTAAACACATCCATGGACGGGATTCGGTCTGAATTGGCAAGTAAAACCCTAACATTTACAAAGATATATAAAGTCATACAGAATATTTAACAAAAAGTGCACATAATTTTATGGCAGAGAAGTAGAAGGCAAGACGGTTGAAAATATTGGTTTAATATGATAATTTAAAAAAAAACAAACAAGGAAATTCCATAAGGATCAAGTCAGAAGTCAAAGTGACGAATGAGGAACTCTTTCTGCTGTTTGATGCCACGACATGAATAAACTCTGTCTGTTGACTTGATATGCTCTCATGTCTCTCTTTGATGTACACACATATACAATTGAACACTAAGTGTGTGCAAACAGTTACACTTTTGCATATTTACACATAAGAATGCATACAAGGAAAAGAGAACAAGGAAATGTGAGCATTTCCCTGTTAAGGTTAGGAGGAAGGAAGATTTATACAGTAGTGGGAATATGTAGATGGGAACATTTCATTGTATGTTCTTTTTATCTCATATGGTAAAATTATTCTAGCATAACTGTAATCTCAAAGAAGTACTTAAATTTTTTATTAAGCAGTATAAGCTAATTGGTGATAGAAAATGACCAGTCACCAGCAACTTCATACATTCATAGAGTCTTACAGCATTACTATCTGTGCTAAAGTGCAAAACTAGTTTTGAGTAATGCCCATGCACATCAAAGTCACATCATTCATGAGAACGGATCTGCAGACGTGTCCCAACAGTACATGACACATTAAAGCTTTCTCAAGCTTCCAGGCATGCATGAAGAGGACTTATTCTTGTTGAGTAATACAGGTTGAGTAATACCTCAGCTGTTGTTTTCCTATTACACTTTACACATTTGTTTGTGTGCCCTGGAAATGGTTAAAGGCAAGTAAAATAGCCATGTGAATGGCAGATTTTTGCTGGCATGGGCTGGGTTCACTTGTCCTCTAAGAAGGAAAGGTTACTCCGTGTCAGTGAAAGTGATAACCTTTATCATGCAAAGAAACATTTCTGACCTTAACACAACAAATACTTTACTGCAGCTTTTCTTTTCTTTTTATGGAAGAATCCGATTTGAATGCTCCTTTCAGTTCGGATTTATTTTCATATAGCACCAGTTCTCAACAACAGTCGTCACAAGGTGGTTACAATAAAAGAATGCTAACAAAATGTTATAACCATGCAGGACAAAGGCAGTTATCTGATTTATTCTATCCCCTGCCTTGTAATTAAAAAGAACAATGCAGTCATTCACTTGATCACCAAACCAAAAAGGGTAATGTTTTTATACATTTAAAGTGACCATCACAAAAACAATGAGTTTAAGAAGATGGATCTGTTTCAGTCTGGAACATCATAATGGTTAATTTCTCCTGTAATATGCAAGGCTGCAATGATTCTTCACTGTATTATGAATATTTTTAACAACCGCAGAGGACTCTTCCATTCTGCAACTGCCCCCTGGGCTGGACTTTTAATATTACTGACCAAAGGCCTCTTTTATTTAGTCCAAACAGCACATTAGACAATGGACATGAGGGAAAAGATCACAATCTAAATATAAACCCTGCTATCTATCTATCTATCTATCTATCTATCTATCTATCTATCTATCTATCTATCTATCTATCTATCTATCTATCTATCTATCTATCTATCTATCTATCTA